GCTCGGCTCCGGCCCGCCGCCCCTGCACGCGCGGGGCCAAGGAAGGTCCACCGCGTCCGGCTGCCGGGCCGCGCCGGCCGCTAGCCCATGCCCGCCGGGATCCCTGAGCCGCGTCGCCACGCCGCTGAGCCTCCTCGGCCTCCGCTCGTTCTTCCTCCTCGCCTCCTCCGGCTCCTCCTCGTCCCCGTCCTCGCCGCCCGAGCCTCTTCGGCGCGCTCCCCGCGCTCCCCGCAGCCGCCAGCAGCAGCAGCTGCAGCAACTGGAGCGGGCGCGGGCTCAGGCCGCCCGAGGCGGGAGGGGAGGAGGCCCGCAGCGCCCGCTCGCCTCTGCTCGGGGCTGGACAGGGGGCAGGCTGACCCCTCGGAGGCCCCCTGGCACGCACCCCTGACCCCCCGAGCGCAAGGTAGAGAGCCCCAAAACAAGGCTCGAGATGGGGCGCCTCTCTCCAAGGTGCTACGCCCCCAGCCGAGCGACCGGGGGCCCGAGGAGGATGGCGGGACACCCATGGCAGACCATTTTTTTTACCAAAGGACCCCCCGGTGGGGAGGGAAGGGGTGACCAGCTATCGACACCACGGGCCGGACACCCCCAAATCCTCGGGCTTCGGGAGTGAGGAGGACCCTTTTCCAGGATACACACCCTAGTTCGACCCCCTCTGGCCCCTAGTTTGCTCTTCCCTACCCCCTTCCTTGGTGCCCCAGTGCCCCACGCATGGCCGGAGGCTAGCGGGTGGTCTGTGGCTCTTGACAGCAGCAGGTGGTTTTTCTGCGTTTTCCTTATTAAGGGACAGAGGCTGCCTAAGAGAGTAGAGAGAGATGAGCAAGGGGGACCTGGCCTCAGGGATGATGCAGGCTACAATAGACAATTGAGTTCCCCAAAGTCGCTCCCCTTTTATCTAGCCCCAGGCCCCATCGTGTGAGGAGGCCAGCTGGGAGAAGGGGTTCTCTAGGCGCCACTCAAGCCTGCCTTTCCCCATATAGGGTCTTCCCTCCTACCCCTACCCTTCAAGAGGAGGAGGAGCCTGGTTTTGTTCAGCAGCCTCTATTTCCACACCACACCTCTTGTAACGCTCCCAGAAATTTTGCTCCCTCTGTACACTGCCCTTCCTCTTGGCTACCAGCTGGACCACAAGTTTTTCCAGTGCTAATTAGAAGGAAGATGGTCACACTCTTCCCTCATTGCCCACAGTGGTTTCCCCAAAGTTTCCAGCTCATTAGTTTAAGCCTAATTGGAATTCTCAAGTTCCTTTCAGCCCTTCCTGTGGTGAGGCCAAGTTAGCATCCTTTACTGTAGGGCCAGGGCTGCTTCTGCCTGAGTGAGACCTCAGCCTGGCCCCTCGCCTGTGGAGGCCCTCGGATGCTGGGGAGGACCCGAGAAGGGAGGCTTAGCTGGGCAGAGAGGCTGAAGGGAATATTTGCAGCTTCTCCAAGCCTCATCCAGAATGTGTTCATTGTGCTCAGGACACATACCCATTAGAAAAGAGTCAGGGTCAAGGTCACAGGGGGAAATAGAACGAGGTAAGTGTTCTTGAGTATTTGGTACTCAAAAAGCAATGCGTAAAAGAGAGCAGCACTGG